ACGTGCATAGCAAATATATAACCACACCTGGACCGACATACATCATACATACATATACATATACATATACGTACATACACACACACACACACATATATATATATATATATATATATAACAAGCACATAAGCACACCTGGACCGCGGTGGAAGCCTGAGGAAGAGCCGACACTGTCCCCTGACAGTCTTGAGGACAGTTGTGTAGATCATGCGCATTATACGCACCAGTTGTTTGTAGTCCGTATTCACTGCGAGGTGAACGCCCGAATCTGAGCTAATAGTCCCACTATGCCGTCCCACATCGCCATGCCGTCCCATAGCACTGTTCCTACCCGTACTATTCTGTGCTGAATTTCGGGTTGTACCTAATATCAGGCCGTTTGTCCTGGAATCAGGGTTGGCGGTCCCAAATCTCCCAGGTTGAAGATCATCCAGGGGTACTAGTTTGTGGGAGGGTATGTTGCGCACCAAGAAAAGCCGATTTTTCCTGGCGTAAGTGAAATCGCGGGCCTGATTCCGACGCTGCTGAGCCAAACTGTCACCAAAATCAAGATTGAGTTGGACATGTGAGATGAACTGAAGATGAGTGGAGGGATTAACAGACTATCTCTATTGTGTGATGTGCGGTAGATTCGATTAGACAGGAGAAGTACTCAATCAATGAGAAAAGAGAAGTACTTGATTTGGGTCAACGATACGCACACACAACGGCGACAGACTCCTCTCGGCTGAGCAAAGAGGAGAGTTACCCTTCGCCTCAGTGAAAAGGGCCCACCCTTAGACCAACACAAGGGTACACGCCTGGGTCCAATGTCCATTCGGTCTACAGCAGTAACTCTGTTTGTACCTGACTTCTAAGACCGGCTCCTCTCCGGCAATGGCTAGTTTGGCACTTTTGGCCGCATTTCCTTTCCTTCGACCCTTTTTGTGACTCCCGGTTGCCATGGAAACAATTTTCTTCGGCCTTTCGCCCAGGAAGCCGCTGCAATTATCTGATCCACACCTACACACCACATTGCCCTGGCCCATCACCCGGTACTGGCAACGGACAATAAAGGAGGAGCAGTCAGCAATTCATTCAGGGGTTCGTTACACTACGGTCCACATATAATAAAATCTCCAATCCGAGCACCGTATCATACCTTGTAGTCGTAACATATCTCCGTGCCACGTGCGATAGCAGTTGAAGCGAATATCCCCACCCGCACCAGACCCTTCACAGTCCTGTGCAGCGGATGCCAAGAGATAGCAAAGATTAGCGTGGTAGGTCTACACACGGTGCACAGACACATACACACCTATCGCCCATGGGCCGTATGCGCACATGCTTGTTCCCAGTGCAGAAAGGTGCATTCAGTGTTCACCTGAGTGAAGTATGGTATGCGTGAGAGTACTCGTGAATTCGTTTACCGTATGAGATTCCTGGCGGTGGAGATATGAATGGAAGCTTGGCGGAGGCAGGTGTGCATGAGATACGGGCATGAACTTATTAATAAAGGTCGGCTCTGGACAGCAAAGCTAAGTGGGAGTTTGGGTAACAAAATAGATACCGTCCTAAACAACTTATATATATATATATATGTGCTGGTTGGTGCGCCAAGGTACGCACAACCAATACAGGATAACCCAGCCATCTCCAAGGACACATTGGGCCACAAGTAGTAGCCAAGAAGGTCATTTTTGTTCATTTGCTACGCTGTCGCCAGACGGCACCCACATTTCTCCCCACGAGGTCGATGTCTCAAATACAGAATAACCCAGCCATCTCCAAGGGTACATTGGGCCAAACGGGCACATTCTTACACGTACATACTCCAGAACGGCACTAGACTAGGACAGGCAGGGTCCACACCAAAACACTTGGAGATGGACTTATTCAGATCATCTCCACACCACCACACCAAGACACTGCCATGCACAACACTGGAGGCGGCCACAGGACTCACTGGACCGTGTATGATTGTAGTGACTACGCATTGGTTATTGGTATAGCGTTCTGCTGCTGACTTGTGCAGAGTGGGCTTTGAACAACTACCAACATGTGCATTTGATGAGCATGACAAACGCACTCAGCGCTACTGGCGTCACACACACACACAATGGTTTCCTACATTTCTCAATGTGGCACAGATGATAGAACCCCCACGCAACAACCAGACACGCACACACAGCATGCTTGTACTACGCTCGAGTGGTGCATGGGGTGAGCATGGACGGATCACGCACGATGATACGCCTTCAAACACGCCTACGTGCCAGTCCTCACTGTGGGTATTCGGCAAACAAACGAAAGCAAGTAACGTTGCTAAAGGTTCATACACGCACACCGGATGGTTACCAACTGCCAATGTGAGCATCTGGTGAACGCAAATGTGCCATGCACAGTACTTAATCTTTGTACATGTACATGGAATGCTTACCATTTCTCAATATGGGCATTTGGTGCAATCAAATAGGTAAAGAACAGTACTCCATCTTCGTACATGCACAACAACAATACTTAAAACTTCGTACGTGAAAAAAGAAGAAAAAAACTTACCACTTCTCAATGTGTGCATTCGGTGAGCATGAATGATTGATAAAACGAGCCGCGCTCCCGTACTGACAGCCGTCAATCACGTTGTTACCAGTGTGGTGCAAGAAGTAGAAGTTGTTCATGTGCTTGTATCGCTCCGTCATACGTCTCCTGCATCGCAATCAATTGTGAAGAGATGGCATGCGCATGCTAAGTATGAAGTGTGTGATAAGTAGAAGTTGTTCATGTGATTGTATTATCGCAATCCATATTGGAGAGATGCCATCCGCATGCTAAGTATGAAGTGTGAGTTAACGCAGTAGAAGTTGTTCATGTGCTTGTATCGCTCCGGTATATATATATATATATACCAACGTACCTGCACTCGGTCTCGGAGACAATCTCTCCCACATATTCGGCAATCAGAGCTCCTCGCTTGATATCACTTTTACATCGCACGCCATATCCCTTGCTGTTTGTCTTCAGGAAGTAGATTCAATGGATGTGATAGGGCGATCGAGTGATGGGTCTGATACGTAAGTACTGAGAAGTGCATATGAAGATGATGGGAATTGCTTACAGAGACCAGAGGGTTCATTTGAGAGACAATCAATACGAAGTAGGTATATTAAATTAAAACTGTTAGCTGAGATAGAGTGCTGACTTGCTGACTTGTTAAACAGGCAAATAGAGGTAGATATCATGAGCATGAGCCCAGTTGGGGGGCTGTGCTAGTCGCTGGCTGCTACTAGGGTTTTGGGTTTGTAAGTGGGCATGCCTGGCAACAGGTGAGCAAGATGAGGATATATAAAGTATGTCTACCAACGAGACGAGAGAGAGAGAGAGAGAGAGAAAGAGAGAGTGTGTGTGTGGACAAGGATAGGAACAGTAGTCAATGGTAAGCCATAGCGCTTATGGGATGGTGAGGTATTCCTATGCGTCTGTTGTGTTCATGAAACACGGACTACGTGAGATTGTACGCAGAGCAGGTACTCAGCCAAGTCAGAGGGGAAATGAGTGATACACATTGTCACGTGGCTTGATACAAACACACATGCAACTTTGCTCTGGTAGACGCGTACCGACACCCACAACGGTACGTATGACTATGCGGGATACTTACATCAAACACATCCAGCTTGCACGGCACCATATTCGTTTGGAATCGATTGTTGGTGCAGATGGACGCCACTGGACAGGTCATCGGAGAGCACTCAGTGAATGTCGATCTGTGTAGACAGCAGGTGGTTTACAGCCGAGTTATGTGATCTGGTGGCAGGGTATTCCATAGCCCTCTAGTTCTTTTAGAAGACTACGGTTTTTTAGCTTAACCCCCTGTGGGACAAGTTCTTCATCTGTACAAGAACACCAACCTCAAGATATCGTAGTACCATAAGTTGTATGGTTCATGGTCAAGAACAAAAGACTCAAGACTCGAGTCTTGTGGTTGGTTGTCCATAACGCTGAGAACATGATATGACTACAACGATACACCCCAGTACACCTTCACGGCACATGTTTCTATTAAGAATGCACATAAGTAAGCGTGCACTATGCATCTCGTTGCTGAGCTTTCTGCACATAATCTGTGTTAAAGTGATTCTAATATAAAATTATAATATTATTCTACAGTCACTTCTATGCACTTTCACTGCCAATAAACTGCAAACAAGAGTGTGTAAACAACACATTTATTTCCACATCTACACTCCAATTCTGAGTGCGAACAAGCGTAAGTACACAGCACATCTACACACATTCACAGACACCTTTAATGTGAGTGCAAGAAAGGGAGGGGTACATCTATACTCATTCTTACAGCCTCATACTCAGCCACCACTGTCTTGAGTCCAAACAAGTACAAATACATGACACACATATATATGCATGCTTCACAAGATTTTGTTCACAAACATGTCTAATGTTAGAGCAAATATGAAGTGTATGTGTACAACACATCATGGCATCACGTGCGCACACCCATGTGCAAGTACTCAACAAACATAAAACGGAGTTAACGGACCCGTCCGGTAGAATACTCACATACCTACAAACCGTTCTGAAATATATACATATATAGCCCATATCCAATACAAACTCGCGTAACATAGTAACACACCTATTGACGCAGTCTTCCCCGCACCCGGTTAGCTCTGCGGTTAGCCCTGCCCCGTCGGCAGGTACAGATGGGACAGTGCAGCTGCAAATCGCATCGTCCACTATCGCCTGCCGTTCTTTCAGCGAAGGCTTGAGTACATCAGCGTATATATCTGTGCATGGACAATATAATAAAGTTAAACAAGTATTGTCTAGGTGTATATCTGCGCATGAATGATGCATAAGAAACGACTTTTGTCTGTTTCTGGTTCTGCGATGGTTTGGTCAAGGCACCTGCGGTAGATGTCTCGATGGCTGCGCAAGATACCTGCGTACATGTCCAGATGTCTGTGCGCTTCAGGATTCGCTTGCATACATACACACAGGAGAACAAGTAAGACGTAGACGTATTCAAAGGGTAATCTACACGAATGCACGTCGTTGGCTGTGGTCCGTCTCTTCTTATAGTTATAGCTATGGCTCACGCGTATAGTTACATATATGCCTATGCATAGAAGGTCGCAGTGGAACGACTACATACAGCAGAAAGGCATGCGAGTGCTTAGTCGAGCTGCACTGCGGCAGGTAGTAGCCTATACATGGCTACTACCACCCGCTAGATGCACTTCATGAGAGAGTACTTGATGTGCAAACACACTCGTCGTACTATGTATACACACACACACAAGTTCTCCTCTATCACTAAGGTACGGTGCTCATACACCCAATGCTATTTTTTACCCATCCAGTCCTCCTGCTTCTCTAACCACAGCCCTTGTTACTGTTCCCTGCGCTTACTCGAGCGTGATGTAGCCTGTGCACTGGCTGAATGATAATAACAACATGGCGAAGTACCAGAGGTCCTGTCGCGTGGTGACATCACCAGAGTGGCGTACGACTGTGAAGTAGTATGTATGACATCATCCCACGTGTACACACACAGTATACTTCCCCTACTCAGTAGAGCGTGTTTTAGGTACACATCATAATAGTCACACACATACTGCGGTTGATCTTCTTGTACGGGGGCGGGGGCACTGCCCGGGGCGCTAAGGCGTGGCTCTGACTGGCACAGTACACGTCGTACGGCAGAGTGAAGGCCTCCTGAAGACAAGCCAAACGAGTTATGTGCCGAGTATGAGCCCATTCATCGATAGTCAAAGGTATCAACCCTTCTACCTACGAATAGCATCACAACATTTGGTGTGCATGTATCCGTAGAGATATGAGGGGATAGACCCGTTGAACGGCGCATAGACTTGAGGAGAGATCAGGCAGCGCACGAGGTGGGCTTCGTATGGCTTGCAGCAATGCCATGCGCTAAGATGTGCCATTTCGCAGCGAGACCAGTACATCAGACGTTCTCAAGTGCGAGCTTCTAGGGTTTGGCCATTTCGAAGCGAGACCAGTACATCAGACGTTCTAAAATGCAAGGTTCTAGGGTTTTGGGGCATTGAAAATATAGGTTTCCACAGCATATAGTCATATAACTAGATATAAACACTTGCAATGGGATTGTGCAGAAAGTTGCGCACGGAGCCACACACAGCAAATGTCACAGACAACTCGCGTAGCTGAAAACACGTCACACCCACACGCAGCAAATGCCACAGACAACTCGCGTAGCTGAACACACGTCACACCCACACACAGCAAATGCCACAGACAGCTCGCGTAGCTGAACACACGTCCCACCCACACACAGCAAATGCCACAGACAACTCGCATAGCTGAACACACGTCACACCCACACACAACATATGCCACAGACAACTCGCGTAGCTGAACACACGTCACACCCACACACAGCAAATGCCACCGACAACTCGCGTAGCTGAACACACATAACATCCACACACAGCCACGACACACCCGAGGTATGGAGGGGTGTGAGAGAGGCATATGCGTAGAGCACTGGGTAGTCACGCGCCATATGCACACCCTAAAAGCCCTGAACCGATGTAGTGCGCGCGTGCACGTATGCGTGTCATGTGTACATGTGTGCGGTTTGCCGGGCTGACGTCTTACCTGTGTGCAGAGGATATCTAGTCCATAGTATATGGGAAAGGGGAGGACCTCGCGCTCCGTCGGTTTCTTCAAGGCAAGCTCCTTTTTGGTTAGCTGCGGTAGCAAGCAATGTACGAGTATTCATAGGCGCGTTGCTGGCGTGTTGTGTTGGAATATGTCTGTGCGTTGCGTCGCATGGGTGATGGGACAGACGGGAGATGTGGGTGGTCACTATGTCTGATGGGTGACTCAGATGTAAACGTACTCAGATGTAGATGTTCTCAGGCGTGGCGACACGGTACCAGATCCGATCACTCCACGAGTAGCGGAAGAAGAGCACACATGTGCACGTAACTCGCATATCCGTGCCCACACCACACCACACAACAAGCAACGCTTTGTGCTATACTAAAAGCCCTCAGTATTGCGTATGGGGTTGCATAGGTTGCCCAATACATGCCACAAACGCATCGATATACACGACTCTGTGCTCAGCTGTTGCAAATACTCCATGGATGCACATGCTAGGGTTGACCGCTCGTACTATAGGCTTTTAGGTTGTAGGGTTATAGGGTTTAGAGATGTAGGTAGGGTTTACCATTGATAGGGTGTGTTCGCCTAGTGCACAAGGTATCCGGGATCTCCCTGCGGACAGCATATCAGGGGGTGACTACTTGTAGGCTCCACCGTATACGACAGAGTATGCGGTGAATAAGACAATCGTACCTAAAACCGACAAGCGCCGTACGCATCACGCATGCAGGAGTAGGAAACACGTATATAGGACTGTATGCGTCAGATCACCTGCGGGTACTTGACATACCTTCTTGCCCGGCGCTACCTGATCCGTGTATATGCCGCAGCATAAGTAACTTTTACTCAAAGCCTTTATTATATATGTACACGATGGGAGAGGCGCGTTAGAAAACTTAAAAATACGTATTCGTCAATAAGCCGCATGCGTTAGAAGACAATCCGGTGTGTAATTCGGATGCGCGACGTCGAATAAGGACTTTTTGTTTTGTGAGGAGTTCAGAGTGTGTTGACGATAGACAGACAAGCGCCATCTCATTGGAAGGCGAACGAGCCAATCCACGCCAGTAGTAAATACAGTGCAAACTATTCGGCATGGGCTCATTGTTACAAATAGTATACACAGCCTATCTACCGAGGATGTACTACACTAAATCAAAGATAACAAAAAAAAAGGGGGGGGGGTTGATACTACTCTTATTACCAATAGTATACACAGACAATCTTCCAATGATATACTACAGCAAGTAAGCGACAAAAAAATAGAAGGTTCAATTATACTGACAATTACCTTCTTCTGCTCGTGTGCCGTAGTCTGCGCGTTCGTGGATGAGCCTTCCCCATACTCCGCACTGAGATCGATATCTCGGTCGGTTGCTACTGCCGGCTTGTCCGTGCGCTTGAACGGTTTCTTGCTCACTACCGTTTCCGATGCGTCCAACGCTTTCGCTGCGCTGTCTTGATCCATTTCCTTGCGCATGTAGCTGTGTTTGACACCCTCGCCCTTCGCCATGGTAACCGTTGCCATGGTGATCTTGCCACCAGTCCGTTTGCCCTGTGTTGCTACTATCTCCTTTTTTGTTTTATGGACTGCTATTTTCTTTGGCTGTTTCTTAAATTCTGTCGCCGAGCCGCCTGGTTTTATTGCGGTGTCGTCAACCGGGGTTTTCGCAGTTTGATTTATTTTTCGGATTGCTTTTCGGACAGGTTCTGTATTTTATGAGCGTGTCATGTAGTTAAGGATACCGAACATCATAGATAGCAGAACACACACATCTCCTCACCGGCCTGAGAGTACTGCGAGGGCTCAATGTGTAGCTATTTTCGAGCACGCGTGCGTGATCCAAGTCAAGTGTTGGTACTCACCCAACTCCCTTCGTGAACCATCTCGCATTTGCGATCTATAGTACACTCGGCTGACTATATAAACACGGATCGAGTACAGAGATCTTCCATCATTCGTACATCTGGACTTCCGCGAAACTATGCTAATACTATACCGATTCCAAATCATACACGGCACAAAGCTTTGTGGAGTGCACACATACGACAGCCCGCATTTTCGGAAGGGGTACAAGGCAAGCGTGGTTTATACATCCTTATACATTTGTAAGTCACCCCTTCAGCGTAGTGCAATTGTGTCATTCGAGCGGTCCGGTATTCCAGTCCAACGCCACCACACACACCAAAGCTCCACACCTCGTTTGGGAACAAAATCAATTACAATCGAGTATTGAACACCAAAACAGATATACTTGTGTGTGTCATATATATATATATAGTTCTCATGCGCTCCATACTCCGCTTAGGTACAATCCAATAGCAATCCAATACTAAATAACACTCGAGATAACTATTAATTAGAGTGTGTAAATGTCGTATATATATATATATATATACATATTACACACTCACACTCACATATATATATAGACTATAGATATATATAGATATATAATATATATATATATACAACACACACACACACACACACACACACACAC